CTCCTAGCTATTGTCAGATATTCACTTGACTCCCTTGACTTTGTAGTAGCATATGGGGAACCCCAAATTTCGGTCTCCAGCCCTGACCTGTCCCAGGGCCCCTGGCTTGTATCTAATTGCCTCTGCGATGGTTCCACTAGATCTCCCAACGCAGAACTCTCTCCTCTCCTCCCAGGCTCGCTCCCGCTCCCCTGGCTAGTCAACCTGTCTTAATGAATGGCATCACCATCCATCCAGTTCCTCAAGCCAAAATTCGAGGAGACCTCATCAGCTCCCCTCTTTCTCCATCACCCACCCTCACTGTCCAGACCTACTGGCTCCATCTCCAGAATAAATCCCAACAATCCCATCCCGTTCTCCCTGTTCGCCCAGCTACCAGGATCTCTCACCTGGATGAGGGTCCCAGGTCTTAACTGTTCTCCCACTTCCACCCCTCCCTCTTCCACACAGATGGCCTGAGAGATCGCCAGTAAACACAGATCATGTTTGCAATGCTCAGGGGCTCCCCGATATCCACACTTCTTACCACGGCCTCTAAGGCCCTTTGTGATCTGGACACTATCCACCTCCCTACTTTCTCGCCTACGTCCACCTCTCACTCCAGCCAGGCTGACCGTATTCCTGTTCTCTGACCACGCCAAGCTCATTCTACCTCAGGGCCCTTGTGTGTGCTGTTCCTTCTACCTGGAACATATTTCTTGTGCAAAGAGCTAGGCAGGAAGACCTCCCCTAATGAAAAGATAAGTGAGAGTCCAAAAAGAAACAATGTAGCACAATCTAAAAGATTCTCAAATTACAAAGTGGAAAGCCTGGAACTTCTCCATCCTTTCCCTGGGGGAACTAGGACAGGGGTGGAGGCAGACAGAGAGGCCTGGTGGGTATCTGGGTCCCATGGTGGTGAGACTGTGCATGGGCAGGAGGAGCGGAGAAGATCCTGATGACAGTGACTGGGTGGGCATCAGGGGAGACTGGGAGCATTACTGGGAGATACTTGAGAATTGGGGGGGGCTCCCAAGACACTGCAAGATATGCGAGTCTAGGAGAAAAGAAGGGTGAGTTTTTAGAGCTGTTAGGGACTGCATCACTTGCTTTAGAAGAAGCAGGTGTAGACTGGACTCCCTAATATCCTCTTGGTGGCTGGAAGGAGTGTTTAAAACAACTGCTGAAACCAGCCCTCTGGAGCCCAGGGCTGCTTAAGGGAGAGACCCCGTCTCTGCACATCGTCTTAGACCAGAACAGGTAGAAATAGTTCCATAAAACTTCATGATAGACCTGGCCGGTTTGGCTCAGTGGTTAGAGCATCCACCTGCGGTCCTGAGAGACCCGGGTTCGGTTCCCGCTAAGGGCACGTACCTCGGTTGCAGTTTGTCCCCGGCCCTGGTTGGTCGTGTGGGTGGCAGCCACTCGATGTGTCCCTTTCACATCGATTTCCCCCCCCCCCCTCTCTCTTTCTCCCACTCTATCTGTGCAAAAAAAAAAAAAAGGAAAAATGTCCCCGGGTGAGGATAAAAAAAAAACAACAACAAAAAAACAACAACTTCATGATAATATGAAAAATAAGAGGCATAATAATGGTAATAAAAGAAGGGAGATAAACAGAAGAAAATAGGTTTTGTGTTTCCTGAAGACCCAGGCTCTGCCGCTGGGCTGCGTGTTGGTGGGGAGAGGGGTGAGGGGCGGGCTTTTGCTTCTCGCCCATCTTCTCGCCAGGCCAGAACCCCCCAGCCAGCTACCTGCATGCCGCCCCGCCCCTCGGGAAGGGCCCGAGCTGCTGCAGAGCCCCGGGGTTCCCCCACCCCCGCTCCTCTGCTCCGCAGCAGCCCCGCCTGAGCCCTGTGCTGAGCACAGGCTCTGCTTTTAACCTGTTCTCTCCAGACAAACCAGGTTGGCAACTACCAGGCTGCTTGCCCCTGAGCCTCTTGACGCTCAACCTTACAGACTGACTATTGTAAGACGTCTGTCGGTCATCCGGCCCTGCCCCCCATGTCCTGTGGCGAAAACCAGGGCCCTGGACAGTCCTGACTCCTGCCCAGGACTCCGCCCCCTGCTCCAAGCACAGGTGAGCCCAGCTCTGTGGGAACGCTGAGCTGTCCCCACCTGCCGCTGAAGGCATCCTCTTTGGGTATCATTTAAAAGACCTTGTGAAATTATAAGGTGATAATGTTTGAGGAGAAAGAGAATACCTCTGGGGAAACATGAAGACAGATGGAAGGATGTCTGCAGAAAGGACTGAGGGAGGAGTATTGCCAGAGCCGGGCCTGGGAGCCGGGGGCTCTGGCAGCGCTGCCCAGGACGGGAGGCCCGCTGCCAGGGATAAGCCATGTGCGTAGGCCAAGCAAAGGGCCACGGGCACGGCGCCGGTGCCCAGGGGCCAGTCGGAGCCGAGTCATCACCACCCTCGAGCTTCCCAGCATCTGAAGTGAGAACCTCTCACTGTCCCAGAACCCACACCAGGCGATCCCGCCCCACAGCACTGAGGAGTTCACATCTTCAATGTCCTGTGTGAGGGACACCCATCATTGTCACAAGGCTTCACTGGGTCCCCGGTGACCAGCCATGTGAACACACACCTTTCTCTACGTGAAGACACCCAGAAGCCCGAGGAAAGGTTTGGGGCTCGGAAGGAGTGGGCGGGGGAGTCCCTCCCTGTGCCCTCGTGAGGGCTGAGCTGCACGTGAAGAGGCGCCCGTCTCGCCACGACGTGGGAGCAGAGCCGAGCCGGCCGTGGAAGAGATGCCCACCCCCCTGGGCACGGGCAAGTGGCATATTCTAGAACACCTTGCTTCCCTTGAAAGTTGACTTCTCTGCAAGATGAATCTCAACTACGTTTATTTTTAGTAATTTTAAGTGTTTCCAAATTTTGTACATAAAGTAAAACAATTCACGTCTGTTATATCATGCTATTTCAAAAGGGCATCATCCAATGTCCATCAAACGTGTGACTCACTGGTGAAGGTGAAACGGAGCTGGAGAGCACAGGCCACCAGGCAAGGGACAGCACGGCTCTGAACACGGCCCATCTGCTGCTGACCAACACGTGCGTGTCTCCAGCTGTCCTGTCCTCTCAACTCGCGTCCAGAGATCCAGTGCTTCACTCCATAGGATGACTAAAGGCATTTCAACCTTAACATGCCCTAAATCAGCTCCTACCTTCCCCTGCACACCACTTCCTCCCAAAATGGCAGCTCCCTCCTCCTAGTGGCTCAGGCCCAAAGCCCTGCAGCCGCTGCTCGTTGCTCTTTCTCTCTCCCGGCTCACGTGCAGTCCGTCAGCAGCCCCATCACTGCCTAGGACACCACATCACCGAGGTCACTGCATCTCCCTGCTTCTGCCTTTGTCCCCTGAGAGTGTGCTCTCAACATGGGACCCAGAGAGCCTGTTGCACACATCAGATCGTACCGCCCAGTTCCAAACCCTCCAATGGCTTTCTCACTTCGAGTAAGAGGCAAAGCTTTAGAATGGTTCTCAGGCCTCATGCACTCCCTCAGTGCCAATCACCTCTCTCAGCATCCCCTACCATCCTCCTGCTGACTCACTCTGCTCCAGCCTCCCTGGCCTCTCGTCACCTCAGGGCCTTTGCACTGGCTCCTCCCTGGCCTGGAATGCTCCACCAGGATGTCCGTGCGGCTCCCTCCTTCACCTCCTTTACAGCCATCTTCTCGGGGAGGCCTTTTTCAACCACCCTATTTAAAATTATAATCCTCAAAAAAAAAAAAAGGCCTGGCTGGGTAGTGCAGTTGGTTAGAGCATCGTCCCATACACCAAAACGGTTGTGGGTTTGATTCCCAGTCAGGGCACAGGCCTAGGCTGCGGGTTCAAACCCTGGTTGTGGTGTGTAACTGATGGATGTTTCTCACATGGGTGTTTCTCTCTCTCTCCCACCCCTTCTCTCTAAAATCGATAAAACATATCCTCGGGGGAGATTTTTAAAAAAATTCACATTAGTGCTATTTTAGCTACTGAAAAATGCATAGAAAAAAACATGGAAAGAAAAAATCCCAGCCCTGGCCGGTTTGGCTCAGCGGTTAGAGCGTCAGCCTGCGGTCCAGAGAGACCCGGGTTCGGTTCCCGCTAAGGGCACGTACCTCGGTTGCAGTTTGTCCCTGGCCCTGGTCGGTCGTGTGGGTGGCAGCCACTCGATGTGTTCCTTTCACGTCGATGTTTCTCTCTCTCTCTCTGTTCCTCTCTCTCCCTCTCACTCTACCTGAACAAAAAATGGAAAAATGTCCTTGGGTGAGGATAAAAAAAAAAAAAGAAAGAAAAAATCCCATAGTATTAACTCGGCTAGGTGCTAAAATATAAGTAATATTACTTTCTTCCTATTTTTCGGTATTCAAAAAATTTAGAGAAAATTATTTCTATAACAAAATAGCAGCTCAAACCCAGAGGGAACCACACGAGCAGAGGAATGAAGAGAAAAACAAAGACGTGCAGACCGGCAGGCGGCGACACTGGCCGGCACTGCAGGTAGACGGCAAAGCCAGGAGAGCTGGCAGGGCCATTCTGCGCCCAAGGTTTGTGGACGGGGAGCAAGATGACCGTCAGGCCGTCCTTAGGAGGAGCTCTCTGACAAACTGCAGCCCGCAGGCCACAGCCGGCCCTGTGTGTACACTACGTGGTACTGAACGCAGCCGCCCGACCCCTCACGCACGGCCGGCCTGTGGCTGCTTCCGTGCCACGCAGTTAACACAGACCATCGTGGCCCGGAAAGCCTAAAACATTGACTCTCTGGCCCTTTACAGACAACGTCTCTGGTCTACAGGATGTACTGGAGGAGGGAGAAACTACAAGGAGAGAGGAGCTGGTCACAAGGGCCATCATGTGAAAGGTGGCATGAAGGGTGACTGCCATACACAGATGAGCCTTGATAAATGTCAGATGGAAGAAGAGAAAAGGCTCTGCCTAAAGGGTGAGAAGCATCCCACCTTAGACAGCCACCACATTTTCTGTGACCCCTGTGTCAAGGAGCAGCAAGAAAAGCGGTTGGTTGGACCGGTTACCTGCAGGGTCGGAGCTGTAGAGACCGGTGGCTGTTGCTATGGGTCCGGGCGGGTGGACGGCACTTGCTGACGACCTCTGACTGGCGATCAGGATCCTGCTCTTCGCGGACGGTAAACGGGACATCGCGCCCAACCCCAGCTGGGGCTTAAGGAGCATGGCCGAGTGGTAGAAGGTGGGAGAAACTTCGTAGTGCGCATAGGGAGGAGAACAGAAGTCTTCCTTTCCAGGGCGTTCTGTGACCTGTGAGGACGAGGGAAGCTCAGTCAGAGAACCTCACACCCAGGCTGCGGACGGCACCTGCTCGGGAGACCGGCTCCATCCCTGATCACTCGCATCTCCGAGTCGACAACACCCTGGACGATTCCCCCGGGTTCTAACAGTCTACACATCTACATTTCACTGCGACAAAAAGGAACTCACTCAGTAAGAGTTTTTAATTTGATTGCTACAAAATTATTGGAATTTGTGCAAGTAGCCAATCTATAAATAAATAATGTCAAGGAAGCAAGGAAAGAATTTGCAACTGTTAATAGAATTATGAGTTTCATTATTCCTAAGGAGAAAAGGCACACTTTTCATAGACTTAGATATATTTCTATAAGACTATGTTTATAACATAGTCTTATAATAAGTAAATGGATTTCATCAATTTATGTTGTCTTTTCCAGGCTACTTAGGAAATAAAATATGCACTGTTAATGAGGGAGAAAAGGCTAATTAGAAAGAATAGGGAAGTTAACAGGGGGAAAAAATGTGTTTTCAGGCCTCTATAATCTACATCATTAAAAATGAGAGACTGATTTACCTCCTCTGACTGTCCTCCCCACTGAGGGGGTGCTTCCAGGGACATCTGAGAACGTTTCACCAGAATGGAGGCTCTAGGTGGAGTCTGCTGACTTCACAGCACCTAGAACATTGTCTACACGTAGCTGAGGGCAGTAAGTATTCAATAAATAAAGCAATCATGTTTCTATTGTGCCCTAAACTTAACAACAGACCCTTGCTGTTACTTCTTCCTACAGTTAACCGTTTAGACTAAAATAAAACCCATTCTGGACTCACAAAGCCTGTTCATATTATCAGTGTTTCTTCATATTAAAAATAAAAAAAAAATATGACAACTCAATAATCTATTTTCTCTCAGTTTAAAAAAAAATAGCGCCAGAGGCTATGCATAAAAAATACATCTGTTAATTAATTCTGCTCTAGGTCACAATATATTTTATGTCATACATATTCAGAAATCACAAGTATTAACCATATTTTTAATAGGATCTATGAAGCCTTGATCCAAGCTGTTGGAAGAGATAACCCCTTAATATGACACTCATTTAATGTTGAGATAGATACAAAGTTCTCCTTAAATTGACATTATTAAAGCAAAGGATTAGGCCTTTAAAGTTCTATCATAATCACACTGTAAAATATGCATGAATGCTACTATAGACAGACTAAACTCAGGCTGCAGCAAATTACCTTCCTGTGAGAGAACATGCTGCATTTGCACTCTGCTGAAAAATGTTGTGTTCTTTACCTACTCTCACTATCAATCATGGGCTTTTATATTGTACTCATACTCTATGTTTTCATTTTCATTTCTCAGTTTCGGGTCAACAAGGGGCTTCACTGAGCAGACATGGGGACAGCTGTAGGGGGAGGACTTGTGATACTAATTGTGTCAACTGGGCTGGGCCACTGTACCCAGATGTTTGGTCAAAGATTATTCTAGATATTTCTATAAAGGTATTTTTTTTTATGAGATCAACATTTAAATCAAGAGATGGCGAATAAACCAGACTGCCCTCCATAATGAGATGGGCCTCGTCTAATCAGTCGAAAGCCTCAGAAGCCAGTCTGCCCTCCACGGAGAGGAGGACCCTGTCAGCAGGCGGCTTTGGACCTGAGCCAGCACAGCTCCCCCTGGAGCTCCCGCTGGCTGCCCACCCCGGAGATCTTGGACCTGCCAGTCACTACACTTGGATGAGCCAGTCTCCAAAAGTCTTGTTAGACAGATACACAGACACATACACACATGCATAGACACACACACACACACACACACACACACACACACCCCTGCACAAACAGTGCTCTTCAGAGATGAGGTGGTGGCAAGAAACAGAGGGACAGTAGTCTAAACCACACTTCTGTATGTCACAAGCACACGGCCTAACCGCTCTCCTCCTACCCGTGCCCCCTTCTGCCCACTTCCCTACACCAAAATGTAAAGACTCCCCCTGGGCATCAGCAGGAGGGAGTGTCCCTGAGAGCTCAGGGGCTCTGAAAGCAGAGAGCAGGGCATGAGCAAGCAGGTCTTACCGTCCTGGCATGGCTGCACCCAAGAGTCTCCTCAAGGCCACCGCTGGAGCTCTATGTCGTGTATTCCCCCCTCAGGGGAGCACCATCCTCCACTCCCCACCCCCTCTCCCCACCCCTACTCCCCACCCCTACTCCTCACCCCCACTCCCCACTCCTATCCCCACCCCTACTCCCCAGCCCCTCTCCCCACCCCCACTCCCCACCCCCACTCCCCACCCCTACTCCCACCCCCCTCTCCCCACCCCCTCCCCACCCCATCTCCCCACCCCCTACCCCACCCCTACTCCCACCCCCACCCCCCCACTCCCCCCCACTCCCCACCCTATCCCCACCCCCCTACTCCCCCCCCCCCACTCCCCACCCCACTCCCACCCCCACTCCCCACCCCTACTCCCCACCCTACTCCCCCCCTCACTCCCACCCTCACTCCCACCCTCACTCCCCCCCCCTCCCCACCCTCACTCCCACCTCACTCCTCACCCTCCCCTCACCACCCCCACCCTCCCCCACCCCCACTCCCACCCCTACTCCCCACCCCTATCCCCACCCCTACTCCCCACCCCTACTCCCCACCCCCACTCCCCACCCCTACTCCCCACCCCTACTCCCCACCCCCACTCCCCACCCCCACTCCCCACCCCTACTCCCCACCCCTACTCCCCACCCCTACTCCTCACCCTCACTCCTCACCCTCACTCCCCACCCCTACTCCCCACCCTCACTCCCCACCCCCACTCCCCACCCCCACTCCCCACCCCCACCCATGCTGTCTAATATGTGGTGAGGAGGGCCGAGGCTGAGGCTGGTTTGGGTTTTATTATAAGACTTTCCCTTTTTATTAAAATCATACATAACTTCTACAATTGAAAAATATTTCTGTGGGAACTGGTCAGAAATGTGTTCCTTTCCTGGGGACTGGCTGAAGCCTTCCTGTGGGGAGCTCGGGCACAATGACAGCCCTCGGACCTCCCCGGCCAGGCCTGACCATGGGACCAGGACTTGCTGGACGAGTCTCCACCACAGAGACCAGAACAAAGGCCAAGGGCCAGCCTCCCCCCACTTCTGACTAAAGAAGATGGTCACAGAGATTCGCTCATCACACAGGGCTCTCTGCTCTGTCTTGTAGCCTGAGAATAGGGCCTGGGCCCCAGAGGCTCTGATTATGACAGCAAACGGTCCCCAGGTAGAGGGGCTGGCACAGGGCAGGGCTGCTGTTCCCACACCTGCGGGGTCTGCCAACTCCTGAACTGCTGCAGCCACACGAACCCCCTGCGACCCCACTTCCTTGACACGGGCATGGTTTCCAGAGGGTTAAGTGTAGAAAATATTTTGGAGGAAAATGTGCCTATAACATAGAAATTATTCTCTATTTCATGGAAGGAGATGAAGTAATACAGAAAAGAAATTCACAAAAGAAAAATTGGGAAGGGTCACAGAGGGAGAATTGTAGACAGTAAGTTTTTGCCAACATCTCCCAATAAAGTTTCTCTCATGACCTTTTTTTATAGAGATAAATCTAGGGGGCGTTTTCTTTGGGGGCTGGGGGAAAAGGTATCAAATGACTTTATGTGGAGAAATGGAACCAATGAAGAACTCAACTGGATGTTTGGGTACAACGAATAGAAAAGGTGACGCTAACCCCATATGGACACACTGCCTTGGTGACCAGAGAAGTCATCCAGTGGCTACAAAGAAGCCAGCCTAAAACTTGGCTCTCACTATCATTATCTCCCAAGGGTGTGCTTGTCAAAGAGTCCCTCCACTGTGCCGTATCTGGGGTTCTATCTTGCATGAGTTGGTTACTTCTGCAGTGATACTTTGCAAAGAAAAAGGTCCACTCATTTAACCAGCTCTGTGCCCAGGGCCCTGGGGCAGGGGGGTATGTGGTTGCCTCGCAGGGGCCTTGGAGAAGAGCCCAGAGTCAGAGCCTGACCCTGAGTCTCAGAGGCCCAGGGGGATACGTTTTTGAAAATGTGAGAAAGACTCACATTAACCAAGTTAAAAGACTGACCTATAAACCAGAGTGGCAAATTGCCCGTTGTTAGTGAGATGGCACTGCCTGAGGCCAGATCCTAAGGTCCTCTGGCCAGGGCTAGAACAGGATGCCATGCAGCCCTGCACAGGGAGCTGAGTCGCTACCAAGGAGGCTGGACTCCTGAACTCTCGGGTCAGCATCCTCTCTCTCGAGTTGTGAGGGGGAAGCCTCTCTGGGCGCAGGCAGAAGACAGGGAGCCGGATAGGCCGGGTGGTTGGCTTGCTGGGGCACCTGGTCAGCCACGGTCAAGATTGGCTGCTGAGAATGGACTGGCCAGAGATGACACCTTCTGCTGTGATCAATACAGTCTGTAGCACTGTTGATACAGTCAGTCAAGAGAGAGAGTCCAACTCTGGACTCGATCATTCTACCTCTACGGAGCTGGGGCTGACTTCTGTTCGGATCCAGCATATGTGAGTTCATAATTCAGTTATCACTCAACACTTGATTGATTTTTAGAGAGAGAGGGAGAGATAGAAACATCGATAAGAGAGAACATCGACTGTCCACTTTCTGCATGCCCCCCTGGGGATCGGGCCCACAACCTGAGCATGTGCCCTGATTGGGAATCAAACCGGCGACCTCTTGGTGCATGGGTGGATGCTCAACCATTGAGCCACACTGGCTGGGCTCATTCAGCACTTTTTGAACATGTGTTTATGCCGAGCACTGTTACGAACTCTGAGGTCACGGTAGGGAACAAAAGACAGAAAAAGTCCCTACTCTCATGGACTTCACATTCTAGTTAAGGACGTAAAAACCAAAAAGGTGACTACGTCAGGGGAGGTAAGTTATAAGAAAAAAGAAACTAAAGGAAGGAGTCTCAGAGGAAAGGAGGCCTCTCCAATGCAGTGACATTTGAAGACACCTGAAGAAAGTGAAGGAGAAAGCCATTCAGGTGTCTGGGAAGAGCATTCCCAGTAGAGGGAAGTGCAAAAGGCCTGAGGCAGCAGAGGGAGGGCGGAAGGGTGGAAGGAGAGGCAGTCAGGAGGCAATGAGCCATCCTACCGGCTCCAGCCTGTGTCTGAGTGGCCTGGGCAGACCTGAGGGGTGTTAGGGAGAGGAGTGATCTGAGCCAGCTTTCCTGTTAGCTGACCACTCTGCCTGCCAGGAGCCTGCTTCGGGACACCACTCTGTTTCCTGAGTGCTGAGAGGAGGACTCACCAGACCACCCGGTTACTTAAAGGGGTAGCACCATGAGCAACAGCAAGGGCCTAGGGGAGCATCTGGGTCTGGCCCTTGGTCTGTGGCTTCGGGTGAGTTCCTCAGACGCCTCCACATCTGGTTCTTCATCCATACAACAATGAAAACAGCAACCCCAACCTCAGGGAATTACAGTACCGACTGCTGAAGACTGACAAAGCTGAATCCCAAGGCATAGTAGGTGCTCAACTAAATTTCAGTTGTAATTATTATTCTGACTTAAAACAAAGGGTCCTTGCCTAACACATAATTTTCTACTCACTGTTCTTCACATGTGTGACTATGAGAGTGTCCTATAGGGGACATATCCCCCTCAGAGGATGAAGTCTGACCACTTTGAACAATGTATTTATTTCTGATTTCTTTTTCCATTGACCTGGCTTATAGAAGAATTATGTTCACTTATTTAAACACGGAAGCCAGTTTAAATGCATGCTCATCTAACTGCTGTGTATTATACTGCACGGCATTTGAGTGAGCCTCCTCAGATGGCTGCTCCATCTCATTGTGGCCACCACGCTTCTCCAGTCAAAAACGTCCGTTTGTCTACAACCTCCTCTATTAAAAACATCCACTTCTGTACAAGCGTATCCACCCAAATCTGCAGTTTCCCATGGGAGACTGTTCTGTTCTCACAATTAATTGAAAATACGTGACCAAGTTTAGGGTGTTCAACCTATAGATGGTATCACGATGACATTCTCTTACCTCCTGCAAAAACTTTTCACTAATTTGACTGAAATGGTGCCCCGGGGGTTTGATTCCAGAGACCATCAATCCAGGACTGAAGACCCTCGGCTTCTGCAAGTCCGGCTTGAACTTCTCGTAGAGGCTGGCCGCTGGCTTCAGGTCGCCGCCGGCCACCTTCTCCTCTTTGGGAAGAGGCGAGTTGCCTGGGGGCGCAGCATAGGGAAGCCCCACGGGGACCAGCGCAGCGTCCACCTGGCCCAGCGCCTGCGGGCTCCTCCGGATGTAGGTGATGATCTTGGGCCGCACGTGCTTGGGCTTCGGCAGAATGATGGGCCTGGGTTCTGTCCTCTCCTCTGTGCGTTCCACCTGGTGGTTCTCCGGCCCCTCCTGGGAGGAAGGAGCATCCTCGACACGTGTGCAGACAGGCTTGGGGATACCGCTGACGCAGACGGCCTTGTCGGGCACTTCTGGGGAGGTGTCCGTGGGAGGTGGGGCAGCCGGGGACGACCCTGCGTCCACACTCAGCACGCTGGGGTCCTGAGGAGCGGAGCTGGGTAGAGCCGGCAGGTGGGCCACCGTCACAGCGGTCTCTGGGTGGAGACGGGCTGGGGCACGGAGAAGAGAACCTGTTCTTGCTGGGGAACTTTCCGTCTCAGCTGCATCTTCTAGAACTTCAGCAGCAGATGTAGTGACCCCTGTGCTTTCCCCTGCTTCTGGGCTGCTGCTCTGAGGGTCAAGGGGCTCGGGGACCCCAATTTGGCTCTCTCCAACAGAAGGGTCTGAAGGAAAAACTGCAGCCCTGCCCCGGCTCCCGCCGCACAGCCCCCCTTGGTCCTCACTGGCATCTGAGGGCCCGCAGTCAGAAAGGGCCTGCGGAATGGAGGGCGCGGGACCATCACGCGGGGACATGCTGCCGCGTGAACTGTCACCCGGTGTCCGAGCTGAGGTGGATAACAGTTTGCCAGGGGGCTGGTTATCAGCAGGTCGCAAGGGAGCAGCGCTGGGTTTGGGGGCGGTGTGAAGAGAACCCTGCTCCCCAAGGTGGACGGCGCTCCTGTCCTGCACACCCCTGCCTCTGGCCACCGGGTGGACACCACTCTGGGGCAGGCTGCTGACTGCCCTCGTGGGGGCTTCGTGCTGTGCTTCTCCGCCGGGCTCCCTCCTCTCCTGGAGCACCACGCTGTCTTCCGTGGGACATCCCAGACCCTCAGCCCCAGCTGCCATTAGTTCCTGCGTGGCCCAGGGCGGGACGGATTGCGGCTCCAGCTCGGGCGCTCCCTTCCCCTGCCCCAGCTGTGCTTCTGGCGCGTCCTTGGATGCTGCGGTCAGCGCACGCTCTGGGTGGGTGGAACGCCGTGTGCTCTCACTGCTAACTTCTGGTCCGTGCGCCCCCTCCGGCTGGGGCTCTAAGCAGGGGGTCTCCTTGGTTTCTGAGGTAGCTGGTTTAGGATGACACACACTCTTTCCTTCTGCGGTGATGTCAGCCGGAGGAAACCCTGTCCGTGGGGCGTGGGCTGTCCCCATCTTCTGGGGCCCCTCGACAGCTGTGGGCACACAATCCAGGGCTTCAGGGGAGTCCAGCGGGGCTGGCTGTGGAGCTGGCCGCGTCAGGGTCCCAGCACGCTCCCCCGTGACCGTGTCCACTGCAGAGCCCCCCCTTTCCCGGGCATGCCTTCTCAGCTCCTCATTGTCCAGGGTCTTTGCCAACTTATCCTTGGGAGGGCGCCGGGGCATCTCAGCATCCCTTGGAGTCAAAACTTCCGGACTGGCCTCCCCCAGAACATTCCGCCAGCCCGCCAGACCTGGTCCCTGGACACTCCGCGGGGTCTGCGGGAGAGCCGTGCCTCTCTGCACTGTGGGCCCTTCACTTACCTCCCCACGGACCGTGGAAGAGAAGTGCAAATCCTTCAGGCTACTGGGGCCCGCATGCAGTCCCCTCCCAGAGCCCTGAAGGGAGGGGAAGTCCTGATGGGAATGGGTACTGTTTCCTGGCTCACGTGAATTTGCATTTCCAACTTCATCGGTCAGGCCACATGTCTGAGACTCATCACGGGGACGGACCTCCACCATGATTTGATTGGCGTTCGTATCGCCCAGACTTAGGAGGCTCTCATTATTATTTTTCACGCCCTTTCTGTTGTCCTGCAATTGAGTATAACATGATTTCTTGGGAGCCAAAGGGACATTCATCTTCCACCCTCAGTGGGGGCTGCTCGCCCTCCCGGACAGAAGGGGGCCTCCTCCAAGCTGCTGTGGGATGAACAGGAGATTCTGCAACTGCTGTCGCCCCCTGGTAATGTCACCTTGAGATACTGCTTTTAATCATTTTCAGAGCAGTTTGAAAACGGAACCTTGTCTTGATATACGGCACAATGACTTATCTGCTGGGGCCTGCTGAACAAAGGCCAACTGATCCGTGAGACCTAGCGAGAAAGCAAAATAAAGTCACGTCAGATTGACAGAGATTCTGGAAGAAAAAGGCATGCTAAACACAGACTTACTCAGCACTTTCATACTATTATTTCACTCATTCAATCCACAGATTTCTCAAAAACCTTCCTTCTGGCCAAACAGGGGGAAGTGGAAACTTCAGAATAATTCGTATATTAGAAATGGATAATAAACCCATATTAAATCTTAAATTCAAATTTCAGAAATACAAAAGCCCATACTGATACTGATTAAAAGGGTGGAAGAGGAAAGACGACTCTTCTTCACAAAAGACTACCAAGTAACCAGGAAAAACTAAACAGTTAGAAAAATCGCCATTTTGCCATGACCAGAGTCATTACCACCTTGGGTGAGGGGTACCGACAGATGCTACCGGGTGAACGATTCTTGGGGAACACAATATTTGCAGAATCTCAGGGCACCACCCTCCGGCTTACCTTATTTCTTATCAGAGAAAAATTTTACCTTTACAATGGAGAAAACTGGTGGACATCTCCCTAATTAAATGATCAAATTTAACAGCATCAATAATGAAAACTGACATCAGTGTTCCTGAGGTTAGGTAGCTCTCAGAGCCTCACGTCACTCAGTAGTATTCTTATTATAAATGTTCAACCTGAATTTCATCATGAGGAAATAATCAGACAAATTTAAATTGATGGATGTTCTACAAAATAATGGGCCTAACCTTGGCCCCAAGGCCGGTAGACATCTAACGCATGATCCTTGACTGGACCTTGGATTAAAAAGAAGTCAGCACAGTGCATTATTGGGACAATTCAAGATTTGAATATGGACTGTATGTTAAGTAAAAGTGTTTAACAGAGTTAACTTTTTTCAGTGTAGAATAGTACTGTGATCATAAGAGATAATGTTTGGTTTTGGGAGATACGTGTGTTTAAACATGATATGCTTCTTAATATGACATGTCTATAACTTACTCTCAAATGTTTCAGCAAAGAGAAAAATGTGTGTGTGTGTGCACGCGCATGCACATGTGTGTGAATGAGACAGAGAGCGTGCAACTATAGGAAAATGTTAATTTGAAAATCTAGGTGATCCACTCTAACATGCCTGCAACTTTTGTGTAGGTTTGAAGATTTTTTAGATAAAAAGTTGGAGGCTTCTATTCCAACCTGCAATGCCTGCACAATCCAGCCCCTACACCCCTTTCTAGCCCCCTCCCCACTAACTGCCTTCGTACTGTTTAGGCTGTTCACACTCTTCACATCACCATGTTCCTTCCTCCCTGCTCCAGGACCTTTGCACATGCTCTTCCATAGAAATGGAATGTGAAATCTTCCACAACCTCACCCAAGTAACTCATTTATATTCTTCAGTTTGCAATATAAATACCACTTTCTTCAGGAAGCCTTCCTGATCCACTAGAATAGATTAGGTACTTCTATGATGAATTTTCATAATATCCCATATTTTTACTTTTAAAAAACCCTTCAGCTATGCAAGACACTGAAGAAAATAATTTTGCTACTCAGCATATGTATCAGGCACTTAATATGAATGAACAAATTACTGAATGAGTTGTAAAGATCAGTGTTATTTCTGTCCTTCATAGAGCTTAAAACCCAACACAGTATTTAAATTTCTATCAAAGTGAACTCACAGATCACCCATAAATCATTTGATTTAAAGCTAACATTGTATTACCACACAATCACTGCATTTTATTTGGCCTGGAGTTAAAAGTAACAAGGTTCTGCCTAGCCAGGTAGCTCATTTGGTTAGAGCATCATCCCATGCACCAAGAGATCACCAGTTCATTCCTGGTCAGGGCACATGCCCAGGTTGCAGGCTCGATCCCCAGTGAGGGGTGTGCAGGAGGCGGCCGAGTGATGTTCCGCTCTCATTGATGCTTCTATCTCTCTCTCCCTTCCTCTCTACCTAACAACAGCAATAAAAACATATTTTTTAAAAAAAGTTAAAAGGTTCTGCCTCATCCCTAATTCCCTAAATAGAGATTCAAAGGGAATAGTCTTCCACACCTTCCTCCTCATTCATACAAACATATGTGAGCTCATGTGCATGCACATATCCACACACATTACCTGGGAGGCTCTTGTGATGTTTCTACTAAAATTGGTTATGTGGCAACCCACTTGTCTTCCCTTTATCATTGTTTAATATGTTATTTCATATAGTCAAAATAATAAGCATATACTATATGTCTATATATGTTTATGTGTATTTATGTTATAACATATATATGTTATAAAACAAAGTAATATAATGAACAAGAAACACAAAAGGTGGAAAAATCACCAATAACTTGCAGCTACCTCCATGCTCCTCTTCATCCCTCCCCTACCTTCCCAACTTAATTTTTCACTGACAGCTACCTCGGGCACCCCAAAATGCTGACAGGCCTCTCTTTTCCTTTCATTTCTTTTACATCTATACAAAAGCACAGTATTCTTTTCATGTAAATGAGATTATTTCCCATAAGCTGATTTTTTGTCAGAAATCAATAAGAGAGAGAAAGCACACACAAAACAGGAAAAGCAAATTTACATTCCATTTATTTTCATCTGACCCTTCTCCCCCTCTCCCCAGGACACATTAACACCCTGATCTAGGTCATCCCCATGTTCCCATAACCCTACCACATATGCACACCGGCACACGTGCGCACGCTTGTGTCCTGCTGTACTGTTCTGTTCTTCCCACGGGGCACCCCCGCTCCCGTCCTCCCGACTCTCCGCATCCCTATCACCTTATCTTTTCATCTTCCAGGCGTGACTTCAGCAAGCCAGGGGTACCCCAGGCCCAGCCTGGCCTCTCCTTCAAGCCCAACCAAGGCGCTGCTATTCTGATACCAGCCTTGGTTCCCTGGCACAGAGGAGCTTCTCAAGGAACCCCCTTTCTGTATTCACGTTCTTTCCTTACTCCATGTTGAAAGTGTTCTTCTCAAAGATATACATGTGCTGTAGGTTCAAATACAGAAAGCAGGCAGGCATATCAATAAGACAGCAGTTTAAAAGAATACTGTGTTCCCTGGGCCGGAAAACAGGTGTCCCAGAAAGTCAGGGAGGGCAAGCAACTCCACAGACATGGGCCACCCACAGAAAGAGGGCATCGCTAATTCTCTGGGGGCAGGATGAGAAGCATGAAACCAAGAGCCCGGGTCGGTTTGAATTGCCGAGGCTGGGAGGGAGAAAGAAAAGAATTCTTCTCCACAGTGACGAGCAAAACCACATACACCACAATCCACAACCTGATGCTGGCAGGAGACAAACAGGTTAAGATCAGGGTCTCGCTAGAAAGAGTTGTATTTTAACTGCTAGAGACGTTAATCGATGATCTTCGTCTTTGCCTTTGTCAGCAAACAATAATGTTTGCTCACCGCTGAGGGCATGGGAAGCTGGACCTCCCAGGGCCTAGACTCTTTCTCAGCACTAATACATATTTGTAAAATTTGATTTTTAAATCCTATTGTATTTCATCTTTAATTTAATTTAAGCTAGTTAATATTTATAATGGCCCCCAGACACAGATCTTAACATCTCCTTGCACTATTTCTGTCTCTCCCGGTAAGGGAATGAAAGCAGAGAGGGTCACAGTCCCAAGGTCACACAGCTAAGAGCAGGACAGGGGCAGGGGAGGAAAATCCATGCAATAAAAGGAAGTTATAAGAAGAAAAGCTGCCTCTTGGTGAAACTGTACAGAGCAGACAGGAAGAATAAAAGTAAAAGTCACTGTCATAAGAATAAGAACAAAAAAGCAAAACCAGAAACCAAAGAGGGAGAGAAACCTCGCAGGAGACAGGAAAGTCAAATTCCAAACCTTCTTCAATGACAGAGGCGAACTCATACACAGGTGGTGTGTCCGGCCCCACCCCTGCCCCGCCCCGCCACCGGTGGCGGCACCCCTGCAGCCCCGTGGTTCTACTGGAGGACAGTCACAAAGGCAACATAAACAGCAGCTTTTTCCTGGACCTCGATTTCAATCCAGGGTACTCAACTAAGATAAAAAATTTCCCCAATATAAACATGATCATAAGAAGTCAGACTTATGCCTGGTCGGTGTGGCTCAGTGGACTGAGCATCTTCCCAGGGACTGAGAGGTTCCCCGCTGAATTCCTGGTCAGGACACATGCCCAGGTTGTGGGCTCCATCCCCAGTAGGGGCATGCAGGAGGCAGCCAATCGATGTTCTCTCTCACTGATGTTTCTCTCTTCCTCTCTCTCTAAAAAAAATCAATAAAAAGATATATTTTTTAAAAAGTCAGACTCCTAATACAGGAGTGTGTGATTAAACAAACACACAAATATGTCAACCAACTGTGCGCGCTCTCCATGGAGGTGCATTTTCCCAGGGTGGGAAGTGTAACTTACATGTGCTCTACATCCATGAGTAGAAACTTATGAACAATGGCCTCAGAGGTAAATGGTAATTTATCTTGAAAAAAAAATCTATTAAGTGCTAAGTCCAGAAGAAATTTAAAGATTTTTCTAGGCTTGTGGCCTATTAGATGCTTAATAGTTTTCCAAGGAGTTCCCCCTTCTAGTAGGGTGAAAACCCCAGTGTCAGGAAATCCCCCAGCTCATAGGCAGCCCCCCACACCTCTGGGCAGGGCCACCATCAGACCAGCCAGGCTGATACCCACCTCCCTGGAACAGAACAATGCAATCCTTTGTCCAGAGCTGTGATGCTCTCTTTCTCCCCCAAACCTTGTAAGAGAACTCAGATTCTCCCAACTTTTGGAGCAGCTTTTGAAAACTC